TCTCTTACAGTTCTCTTGGACAAAATATTATTATTATTATTATTATTATTATTATTATTATTATTATTATTATTATTATTATTATTATTATTATTATTATTATATGTGTCACTGTTACTGGATGCATATCTGGTCTGTACTTAACACAGAACATCCTGTATATGCATATTTGAGTCTGGAGTGTACTTGGTTCTGCCAAAGTGATAAGCTGGAATAATACGCTACTGCTGGATTTAAGTGCCAGCTGTACAAATAAATCTTCAGTGTTGTGGCCTTGAGATTCCTTCAGTAGAGTGGAGTTTTTAAGTTTATCAGCCAAGAAGTAGAATACAAAAAGAATTCTTTCCACAGGTCATACCTGTGGATTTGCAGTTGATTGCATCATTGAAAATAAGAGCAAAGTTTGCCAGCATTTGAAGAGCAAGTAAAAATTATTTATTTTAAGATACTAAATAATATAATATAAATTATATTATATAAATATAATATATATATATAATATATAAGTATATATAATATATATATAAATATAGAAAGATAATAATAAAAAAATTATAACTACAACTACATATATACTATATTATATTATGACTTTTGATCACAATCAATCACATAGTGTAATAATAGGTGACTCACTGAGTCGAATCGGAACAATCGGGATTTTCAGAGAGAGTCCTGGGAACAGCTAAGATACTGCGCAGGACCCTCAAGCTCCCAGGCCTCTGGTAGAGGACCCGAGCTTGAAGGATAAACCGCCCGCAGGGGCGTGCTGGGTGTTTTGTTTTTTTTTATATATATCTAATAACAAGCAGATCCAGATCTATTTTATCAGGCCTCCAGCTGTCAGATAGGGGTTTTTTTGTTAATGATCTTACTATTCCTGTTTATGTGCTGTTTTTCATATGTATAATGTTACCATTATAACTATAAAAGTAAAACTGCTATTTGTTTATAGAAGCACAGCATGTTGTATTGCATTAGAGACAAACGTTTCTTCTTTGTGTCCTTCGGTTGCTCAGCTCTCTCAACGTTGTGTTTTTCATCACCAGCTCTAGTTTACATGAAATAAATGCACTGTTGTTTGAGTGAGAACTGTATTCAAGAGCTTTTTTATAGATATATACAGCATATAGTTTTTACTGGTGATATTTCATCTTTTTGTGAGTCTGGAGGCTCTCCAGCTTGTTGTTTTCATAGGAGCTCTAGCAGGATGAGAAAAAAACTAACAAGCACTTGTCAGTTCTCAGCCATCACACTCTCTGACAAGCAACTGTTGTGGACTTCTCCTCTTATCTTCCCTCTCTCTCACCTTGCAGTCATCTGAGAGAGCACATTTCATTGCATTTGTATGGGTGTATAGTTTTGTGTGTATGTGTGTGTGTGTGTGTGTGTGTGTGTGTGTGTACATGCTTGCCTTGCCATGCATGTGGTTGTGTGTTATATGTGTGTGCTTACATGTGTCAGAAACTCGACATGATCTTGTCTCCGGTGAAGGCCTTGGATCACCCGGCCCTGCTCACTCCAGACCTGACAGTGCAGCTGAACTAATCAATATCTCTCTGCAGTCAAAGGTGGGTTCTGCCATGAGGCCGCAGGGGTGCACTAATTGATGGAAACTCACCGCCGGCTAGCTCCATGCCCTGCGGCGCTGGAAGAAGCAAGCTAGGGCCTTCCACTGAAATGGAAGGGGAAATAGAGGACAGAAAAAGGCCGAGATCATAATCAGGAGAGAGAAAGCTGTTTAGTTTGTGCTACTTTTGTCTGTGTTCTTATGTAGAACAGGGTTACATACATGGAGCATGCTGCTTGTTGGGTGACATATTTTACATTTTTGCAGTTTCATCTCTCTTTCCTTGTCTTCTTGTCAAGGCCAGTGATGTTCAGCATTACAGTGACCTTTCGATATACAGGTATCAAACCTGTGGTGGGATTTCAGTGAATCTATTGGTTGGGTAAGCTTGTCTTTAAAAAAATATTAACCTGTAAGACATAATAAGATAAGTCTTTTTTTTAATTCTTATTTTTATTGTCAGATATCCCTCATTCCTAACTCTTTTTCTGTTTATTTACTAAAAAAAAATGCATTTCTTGTTTCAAAGGAAATAAATAAGTAGATATTTATGACAAAATAATACTTACATTATTTTTTTACTTACTAAATTAATCAACATACTGCAGGTTTCTCGGAGCAATCCTTATGCAAATTTCCTGATGTTATCAACCTTTGCTTCTTAATCGTGTCCCCTCATTTGATCATGTGACTTTGTAGCCACTAAAAAAGATCACATGCAAAAAAGGAAACAAGAAAAAAAAACAACAAGAGTGGCTCATAAGGAAAAAAGATTATTTGAGAAAATGCCCACAAACTTGTTTCTTGTTAAGAATATATTGTTATGGTGCAGACTAAGCACGCCATGATAATTATCATCAATAATTGAGTAAGGGGAAATGGTAGAAAGAGCTGCATTCAGTGCTCGCTAAATGTGCCTGAGAGATGCTGAGATGGACAGTCTGGCTAGCTAGCTAATTTGGCTCCTTTTTATGTGGCACTGAAGATTATCTTTATGTTTCCACCCGCTTAGCTCTGGCTCTTATGAAACCTGGGAAGAGAACGCGTAGTGTTTCCTGTCATTGCCGTTTATCAGTTGTTTGGTGGTACATATTGATCCCGGAGAGCAACAGCACAAATAAAATGTCCTTGATAATATTTGGTTGATAGGTAACTTGCCACAGGTCGTTACAAGGGGGACTCACAAATATTATGTAGGTGGTTTAGATATTTTGCCTGTTTATATTCCAATTAATATTTATTCATTCATTCATTTAGTCAGTCAGTCAAAGAACTCTCACTGACACTTACACCCACACCCATGTTGTAGGCTGTGTCTCCTGAAGCAAACGCTGTAGGATCAAGAGAAAGTTGCTTCATTTTCACGTGTTGAGCTCTGCGTATTATGCTGACGATTACCTTTCTAAAAATCTTGAAACTGAGATAACCTTAATGCAGAGCTAGCTGGAGGGCAGTTGTTGGCAAGAGCTTTCTGCTCCTTTCTTTAAAAGAGGAAGCTTGCCTCTGAAATGGGTCATAGATCGGTTGCAGTCCAATCATGCCCAGGAATTATGTGTTCAGCAAAAAAAAGAAAAAAAAAACTGGAGTCAGACTACAGAGGGAAAACCAACCTTGAAACTTACTGCCTTATTGAACTCAGGCCTCCTAACGAACATGCTTCGCTGCAGTTTATAGAAGAAAATGGAACAAACTGGCTATTATAATTAAAATGCATTAATATTTCTTAATATTCTCCTAATGCTTAGCATTTTACTACCATCCATGCAACCAGTTCATCCAAATTCACAATCTGGATTCGGACATGTGTTTTTAACAGGACACTAGCTGCATGAAAAAAAATAGCTGAGCATCCACAATGCAGCCTGTGTGTAAAGGACCGGTGAGTCTTTCACAACAAAGAAAGTTCAGAGTTAGTATTGGCTGAAAATGATAGGCTGATCCCCCGGGAATAAGGTGCACTTTCCAAAATGTAAATTAGGCCTTCCCTGAGACACACAGGTCTCTTTCTCCCCTGCTGCTCGGAAAGCTTTGCCATTCACCTTTAAACAGCAGAACAATAATCAATGGAGCATTATTAATGCTGAAATCATTCATGTGCTCTCCTGTGGTACCCTGCTGAGTGTAAAGCCACTGAAGTCCTGTAGCTCATATGGATTGCATTGTATACGTTACACACAAAAAACATCATGGCTGCAGATATTGACCTCTATATTTATCTACAAATGATATGATATGTGCAACCTTAAAGATATTTTTTAATAAACCAAATCTTACAGTTTGCACCAATTTGAGATTACCAACAAAGATGTAATCCTCATGAGGCCATTGATAGCTTCCAGTATCATGTTTTCTATTAATCCCTATTGTTTTGGGGGGTACTAGTATCAAGAATTTCAACTTTGAGACCAAAAGAAAAAAAAATCATATATGTACGTCATGTGTGCTTCAATCTTTAATAAGCCATGTTTCCTTGCCGTGTTACACACAGGCTTGTCCTCAGTCCTCTAAGATCCCGGTGTGAATTTTTCATAAACCATGTCTATGCGTCTTGTTCACGAGCTGTCTCAATACACAAAGGTCTATAGCTTCCATGTCCAGTCTGGCTTACGTATTGGACATTAGAAGAGTGCAGGCAGAGCTGCAGCAGAAGGAAGAGGAAGGAACGAGCGATCTCCTTCATTACAGGAGCTAGATATAAATCAAACTAATTATGGCGCCACTACAGTATCGAACCCATGGAGGGGAAATGAAACGATCAGAGTCAGGTCGCAGCTCAACAGAGAGGGAGTTAATGAAAATATTAATTACCTGATGATATATTGGGGATCTGGAGCGCCCCACCCATCCCTGTCTCTCCTGCACTCTCAAGCCCCCTACCACAGAGAGCATTTGTTTTAATTGAGTAATAATAAGGCTGCTACATTTGGCTGAGTCACTTGATTTGAGGGTGTAATTGACCAATAAAGGCCCATGATAGGCAATTATAAATCCAATGTACTGCTAATTACTTAGCAACTCTTAAGTGTCTAACTAACACAGTGAACATTACACTTCAGTGCAGATGGTTATTTTAAAAGTCATAAAGTGAAAGCCCAAGTGAGTTCACAAAGTGAGTTTGATCCACATGGCACGCAGTAAATTAGTCACCTCCATAACTCTCTTCATGTCTGTCACACACACATGCACCACCCACCCAACATTATAGTGTAATCTGCTATTAATATCAGATTTTGGTCTTGTGATCGATTTCCTCTGTGTTTTCATTCTGAATTATTCAGTGGTACACTTTATCTCCTCACCTTTCCCTCTCCCCAGACTGCTGAACCTCTCCCCACCCCCCACCCCCGTCGCTATTTGTCACATTGGTCAATAAGTGGCTGATATTTGGATCCTGACTTTGTGGGCCAAGGTTCCTTCCAGATTCTTGAAGCCTGGATGAGACGCTGCTGGCTCGGGCTGAGGCTTTGGCGGCCGTGGACATCGCCGTGTCCCAGGGCAAGACGCACCCGTTCAAGCCCGACGCCACCTACCACACGATGAGCACGGTGCCATGCTCGTCGACATCCACCGTGCCACTAGCCCACCACCATCATCACCATCACCACCACCACCACCAGAACCTGGAGCCACCGGACATTATGGACCACATCAGCTCGCCGTCTCTCAGCTTAATGTCCAGTGCGCACGACGTGGCGGGCGGCGGAGGTGGCGGTGGCGGCGGAGGTGGCGGTGGTGGGCTCATCTCCACCTCTGCTCACCCGCACTCTCACATGCACGGTTTGGGTCACCTCTCCCACCAAGCTATGAGCATGAACTCACCTCTCACCCACCACGGGCTCTTACCGGGCCATCACGGGGGAGGTCAAGGCGGCCCTGGGCTCACAAACAACGGACTTCCCTCCATTAATGACTCGGACACAGACCCAAGGGAGCTGGAGGCTTTCGCGGAGCGCTTCAAACAGCGGAGGATCAAGCTGGGGGTGACACAGGCGGACGTGGGCAGCGCTTTGGCTAATCTCAAAATCCCCGGCGTTGGATCACTGAGCCAAAGTACAATTTGTCGATTCGAGTCTTTAACTCTCTCCCACAACAACATGATTGCGCTCAAACCCATCCTCCAGGCCTGGCTAGAAGAGGCCGAGGGGGCCCAAAGGGAAAAAATGAGCAAACCTGACATTTTCAACGGAGGAGAAAAGAAACGCAAGAGGACCTCGATAGCAGCCCCAGAAAAGAGGTCTTTGGAGGCTTACTTCGCTGTACAACCTCGACCGTCGTCTGAGAAAATAGCAGCTATAGCTGAAAAGTTGGACCTGAAAAAAAATGTGGTACGAGTGTGGTTTTGTAACCAAAGACAGAAGCAGAAGCGGTTGAAATTTTCCGCGGCTCACTGATGGGCGAGGAAGAGAATAAAAAAAAAAAAAAAAAGTTTGCTGATCAATACGAATGACTCGGGAAGGGACACCGAGACACCATTTTCAGTCTTTTGTCTCCAGCGATTTTACACGCTGGTGCACAATGGACTTTAGATACCCATTTTATGAGGCTTCATATATCCTGTTTATTTTCACGTTATCGGTGAATGTGAAGTATGCAAATAACAGATTACACAAACTTGGCTCAGATGTTACCAGGGAAAAGTTTAGCGACGTCGACATTGCCTTTTAAATAAAAGAAAACAAAAGAAAAAAACTTGTGGAAAGAGGTAATTTGCTCGATACTATAGCGAGTTATTTTCTCCGAATAGGCCTGTTATTTTGAAGTATAGCCATTTACGAATTACCTCACTGATTGTTAAATGTGGTTTGGGTTTGATCTTTTCTGTCGTTGATATAGACTAAGTCATGACTGTTCATTTATTCATCCGTTCATTTATTCTTATTTGGAGGCTGCTACGAACTGAAATTTAGTTGCAAACTTTTTATGGCTATCGGAAAAATAATTATTTTTCAGGCCTGCATGAAATCCTAATTCACGGGAAGTAATTTAGCCTGTGTGGGCTGTCACATCTGCAGATATATTTATTTTGAATTTGCACAAAGGACCCTTTAGGTTTCTAGATCGGCTATGTCGAAATGCGTTTGTATATACAGACATCACTTTATCACTTACCAGAGGTGAGCTCCTGTATTCTGGAAACAAAATTAATAAGGGGGAGGGGGTCTATCTGCACCATTGGCATCACTGGGAAAAGTTTCAGACAGATCAGAGCATGATAGCTCTGTCTACATCATTAAGGAGAGATCGCAATCAATAAAAGGGGTTTTTCGTTCTTTCATGTGTTTCAGTTTGCAGTGCAAACACTCTATGCATTGGAAGAAGAATCACTGCATAGCCTACAGCAGAGTTGTCTACTGCTAGACCTTATTTTGTGGATGGTGTAAGTCACTGTTTAATGCCTGTTTTCACATTGAGATCACCACGTTGTTTGTCGTGTTAACTGTTACGGAAACGTTGTGTAAGTAATATTTTACTTTGTGCACAAAAGTATGTTTACAAAAACTGCGGCGACATGTGCATCATGGAGAAAATGTCCCACTGTCTCCTTCCCTCTTTCACAACTTCTCCACTCTCCTCTGTTGTCCTCTTACTTTCATTGGTACTATTCATCCTGTAAGCCAAATCCAACAGGGAGGTGTGTTCCAGCAATCTTCTAATAAATCAAAGAAAGAAAACTGTGCTTTTCCTGGTTGTGATTCGGCCTGCACGGCACACGATTATCAAGGTTACTGCTGGTGCAATAGTTTAACGCATTACTATGGCCACGTGATAAAGCGTTTGGTATGGTTTTAAATGGCGTAGCTTTATTCTAATCAGCGATATAAAACTCATTATAATGGTTGTATATACATTTGCCTAATTTTAGAGGATAATATTAAAGTTTAAAGTTTAACTTTTGAAAGTTAGATGCGTATAATTTTACATTTTTGCGCCGTTAGTTTCTCTATTATTTATTATTATTATTATTATTATTATTATTATTATATATATATTATATATAAACTATATAAGTTTTACTTAAATGTTTGTTTATTTTTTCTATATTATACTCATAATATTTATTTGGTATAGTAAGTAAATTGCGAGGCTGTATTTTAGTTGTCCTTACCTTTTATTTAAACATCTGAACATAAAATAGGATGAATTAATGAGTAATAGGCTGTTAAAGGAAAAAGTTTTCTTCCTATATTGACACAGGCCCAACAATCAACATTTAATGAAGTTTTAAAGTAGAATAACTGAGCACTGACACCAGAGAGAGCGAGAGAGAGAGAGAGACGATAGAGAGAGAAAGAGGGTGAGAGAGAGAGAATGAGAGAGAATGAGAGAGAGGGAAAAAAGAAAAAGAAAAGTTGATTTTCTTTTTAAAAATGACCACTGTGTGACCTCTACCCCCTCCAAATATTTCTGTTCACTCCTAACTTGCAGATAGGCTATATCAATTTTTTTTTTGTGGGGCTTCACGTTCGGCTGCATTCATAAAGAGGAATTTTTAAGAGCATGTAATGCAATATTAATCGCGATTTGCTGATATAAAATGCAATATTTTCAGACAGCTTTCGGGGGTTTCAGGGGAAGCAGGCGGATGAAGGAAGTCGCTGTTAAATAGCAGAGAAAGCTGCTCTTTATTGCTTTTCTTTAGCTTTTGGCTACACGGACAGAAGACAGCGAATCCTTAACGTAAGTAAAATACTTTTTTGTTGAATTTTTAAGAAATTTTGTTGGTCATTTGTAACTTTTTTTCTTTTTTAAAGATTAGCATAGACGTATGTCATTTTGAATGAAAATATATATATTTTTTCTTCTGCAATTGCTTTTCCATTTAAATTGTAACAGGCCTGCTTCGTGGCGTTCCCCACTGCTAGCCTTATTCCACTACTTCATTCGTTCAATTCTGTAAAACATAATTTTGTAAATCTAATTTAAAAATTGAGGAAAATTGTGCAAAAAATAATAAGAAATTTGTTTTCGTTGTGAGAATATTTTTCCAAACGCTGTTCTTTCGTGATACAGACTTTCTAGGAAAAAAGAAAAGAATGAATGAAATGTAAAAAAAAAAAGAAAAAAAAAGCTATTTGCTCATTAAGTGATATTGCAAATTTCCTGTTAGAGGTTGCCGCTATCACAGAGTCCTTTTTGTTGCATTGTTACGAAATAGTACAGCTGTTATATATATGTATATATATGTGTATATATATATAATATATATATATATGTATATATATATATATATGTATATATATATGTATATATATGTAAATATATATATATATATATAAAGGTGTGTGTGTGTGTGTGTGTGTGTGTGTGTGTGTGTGTGTGTGTGTGTGTGTGTGTGTATTTTAATAATATACTGTATTGCCAGTATGGCTAACAAGTATTCACCACCTTCATACTATCTACTGAGAGTAACGCAACACCGCTGGCACTGAACATACTCCACGCGCAGCACCGCACACGCCACATGGCAATCATTTCAGCACAACGAACAGCTCCGTTGGCGGATTGAAGAGTAATACATTATTGAAAGCCTATATCAAACAGCTCTGGGGTGCTGTCTCTCTGCACAGGGGCTCTGGATGAAGTCGGACTGTCTGCCTGCACAATAGCCTCTAATATGTTAATGGCCGTAGGGGATGCCTGAGGTACCATCCCCAGCTGCCTCGCCTACCATATGTCAGCCCGTTACGACAGAGTCCTCTATTAATCAGGGGGATATTTCATCAGCAACCTCACCGATATTATAACCCTTAAAGTTCTATCAATAGTCGACCGTGCCGGCGCCCGATCATAGGTATCCTTAGTGCCTGGGCCTAAAAGGGCCGTCCTCCTATAATCGTGTCTAGATCGTTTGAGTTACCCCATCCCGTCCCATTTCACTTCAGGTGTCCCGTTTGAGCCTTGTTACAATGAAAAACTAGATTATTATTATTATTATTATTATTATTATTATTATTATTATTATTATTATTATTATTATTATTATGTAACAGTGTTAATCACCGCCTTTCTTTCCTCTTTTGTATTCTTGCATAGGCAGCGATGGATTAATCACGGAGCCTACCAAAGGATCTCATAACTTAATTCCTTCAGGCTTCTAGTCAGGGGAGTAATTAATCTATACCGTGGATGTAAATAAGAGGAAATTGGATTCCTGACAGACGAAATGAGAGACTCTCTGACACCACGTTGGCAAATAATGATTTCACCACACGTTATGGTAACGCAGGCGCTTAGATTTATGAGAGCACGACTTTTTAGTATAGCTCTGAGCGGAGGGGAGTGGGCCTACCCTAATCGTAGCTGTTAGACGCCCAGGTTAAGATGGATTAGATCATTAGAATTACAACACTTCGAGCTGAAAGTTAAAGGAAATGGAAAGCTCTAACATACTGCGTTGGTTAAGCTTTTTTTCCTTCTTCTTTTTTCTTCCCCAATTGGCTTATGCTTTGTTCTTGCTTTGACATTGTTACACCCAATTTATAGAGTTTCTTAAAACAACATCAGTAAAACATATCTAAGATAAGAGCTCCCAAGGAGGGACCCCGCTGATCTAACAATAAGCAAGAAGGAGGCCCTTTTGGACGGAAATGTCAAACCGGGGATGTGGATGCGTAGATCCCCCAGATCTGCACTCATTTCCCACTTATATTTGCTCAGTAATCCGCTGTGGCAGCCCTCCATCGCCCGGGACCTGGTTTGAGAGGCGATGCTGTTGACACAAGGGTATATTTCAATCACAGAGGGTTCAGAGTCAGACGCACAACTTATTTGTCTAATAAATCCGTCATTTAGTAAGAAAAATATTTGATCTTGAGGGGCTGACCTCTTGCCATGTAGCTACTGACAGATAAAAATGGGCAGCCTATGTATGCTTCACGGATATGCAAGTAGGCTGCATAGCATAAAGCGCAATTTAGATTCATATTTGTATGGCGCCCAGATCAAAGCCCCCCCCCCCCCCCCCCCCACACACACACCCACACACACACACTTATTGTGGCATTTGCTCTCAGAAACTAGAGTTGCAAAACGGAAAAGCTTTTTTTATTCAGTGTTGAGGAGAAACGAAAGGTGAACCAGTTAAGAAGTCCAGACACTGACTAATTTTTATTTATTTTTAACATATATTTGTTAAAGTTTTTACAGTTTCATAGTTTCTTATGAATCACGTGCTTATAGCTCTGAAATAAAACATTTAACACACTGAACGTTTGTTTTGATGTAACAAACTATAAAAATAATAGAAACACACACACAAAAACACACAAAAACACACACACACACACACACACACACACACAAGTAAGCTAGATGAAGTTCGCAGTTACAAAGCAGCTTGGACACTGCCAACGATTTGAATTTGGAAGCTATAAAAGTACGATGGCTTCAGTTATAGGG